ACCCAATTCATGACACTGATATCTATCTATAAAACATCTAACAGAATTCCAAGCATTTTTGAAATTATCAAAAGACTTAATCAGGGAACGCATCACATCTCTGTGCGCACCATTTTGTTCTTCATTGGTGATAAAATCGCGGAAGGTTGTCTGTTGCGCTTTCTGTCGTGTCAAACGATATGTCAATCGACTCGTTAATGTCTGCGTAAATTTAACAATTGACCATAGATGTTTAACTAGAAGCAGCTTCTCTTCGTGTTTGAAAAACACGTTAATGAACGGGAATGCTGCTTTGTACTGTTCATTATTTGCGAAATAAACTGCAAAACTTTCTCTATTCACATCCACAACCTTTCTCCATAAACCTGGCAGATGATTCTTTGAATACTCGTCCGTCAATAATAAGGTTTCGTTTATCTCTGTTTCAAGAGCGGCTTTTTGTTTCTCCGGTTCAGCTCTTTCCATTTTCGTGCGCATGTCCATTGCCGTTGCTGCTACGTTCCTGATAATCGGAGTCACATACTTGTCACGGAAATATTGCTCCCACTGATCCCGGGCTGCTGCTGTTTTTATATGTGCGTCCATATTAGGCTTGTCTGCCATAATCGAATACAGTATACTGTGTATTATTAAAGCTAAAGTTTCATCGTCACATGCAAGGAGAGTCTTTAAAATGGCCCAGTCGTTTGTTATATGATTACGACAGTAAGCGATCGGATCGTTTATTGGGTTTCCATTGGCATTCAAGAAGGCATTGACGTTTGGTGAAGGAGCTGACACACCAATCAAAGCGTGCACGAAAAGATGCAAAATTCGATATGCTGCTGACGTGAGAGCGCGAACGTTTCGCCGAGCGTCTTCCATCACATCCTCGACGATATAACCTGGTTTGTCTTTATTGCCGACATTATGCTTGATTGGTTTATCATCCAACCTACGTTGACCAGCAGCTGGTACGCCGTACTGATGACCGCCCAGATCTGCAGCACAATCGGGGCATCGCAGCGCCATCATGACGTCTCCGCAATCTGCGACAAAATATTTGTAGCCGCATTGACATTGATATCTGCATAATTAACTCTATTAGCATCGATACAGTATATAACGTGAAATAAAGAAGAGAAAAAAAGCGTACCGGGAAATGCCTTTGCCAGGGTGTGCGTCATTGAGCGCGTTGATGATCATAGTTTCCTCGTCAGAAGGACATGTCAGAATAAAGTGATTTCTTACAACCGGTAACTCTTGCAAGTATAAAGTCAATGGTGAAGATTCTGCTGGCAGCGACGCGTGCACTGCAATGATGTGGACGAGAACCAATCGCATTATAAATTCTGCATTATCTGTTTGTTGTCGAACGGTCAATAAAGCGTGGCTATTGGTAATTAAATTTAAGGCTAAATGTTTGTAAGATGCGGAAAACTTGTTCTCGTCAATTTGGCCTTGCAAGAATTCTGCAACCTCATTTTCGTTATAGGTCATTTCACGTGACGCTCTAATACCGTACAGATGGTTGACGATAATACCAATAAGAGCAATGCGTGAATTGAGACTTTCAGCTTCCAAAGCATTCTTCACAATAACGCCTAATTGACCCTTATCTAACATCCGTGTCATCGTAGTATAGGCTATTTCTGCATCACCGTATTCCTGAAGTAAGCCATAAGGATTGAACGGGATTCGACTGGTCTGATTAACGTAATCCCATGGCAAATTTGCCAACCAAGGTAGCAGCCCCTTCTGGACCGTGCAGAATGTCTTGAGGTCGCCAATGGTAAAGCCACGAGATCGAAGATTTTTCAAAAAATAAACTTTTAGCGAATGAATTTGTGGATGATTGAATCCCATGGCGTTATTCAGTTCAACTATAAGCGTTTGAATGTCGTCTGTCAGCATAAAATTAAACTCAATTTGCTGAACGGTTGGCTTATCCAAACCAGCAGATTCCCAAAACTCCTGAACAAATTGTTTCAAAAGCGCAATAGAGCATATGCGTTGCAATGGTTCTGACATTGTCCCACGTATTGCCTGAGACGCGTCGTGGAAGAATCCAGAAAGTTCTTGGAGGTTTAGTTCGCTGAATTTCTGCTGAATGATGTCACAACAAAGTGTTATCATTTGGGTATTCGGATCGTGCATCTTCAATCGGCGGTTAATAGCTTCTAGGCGTCTGGACTTTGCGAATACATCCGTAGGACTTCGCACAAGTAATAGTAATATATTATCATTCTCTATGTCTTCTGCAGATATGATGCGAAGAATGACGGCCGCTGTAAAACGCAATGGTTCTGCAGGTTGGAATATTTTATCATAAAGGAACAGTTGAACTTCCGAATCGTTCTCAATCATATTTAAAAACCGTAACAAGAATGATTGACGTGAAGTTAGGTTCTTTTCCGTTGGCTCAAGATTGTCCAAAGTGTTGAGTACATCGTTCAAGAAATTCGCAGAAAGAAAATCTTCATCAAAATTGATAATGTTTGTAAGGTGGTCAACAGGAATAGCTTGTGTAGAAAGCAAATCATTACAAATCCTGAGTAGCTGGAATAATATCACCTCCTTATATCCGGGAAGTTGGACGCAAAGGGACATAATATGAGTGACGTCCAGCTGCCACTTTATCGCCTTGCTATGAATGTCTTCTTCGCCAGAAAGTCGCTGTAGTTCATCCAGGAAAATTCGAGACACTTTATTAACAATAAGTTGTTCAAATGTTTCTCCATAATTCTCGTAATCGTCTAAATTCTCCATAATAGTCGGGAACAATGAAGCTAACTGCATTTGCGCTAAAACAGCATTTGATTTCGTCCACCAATATACGTGCAACAGGATGGGGTTCAAAACTTTGTCTTCACCCATAAGACGGCTTAAAAGAGACATTAGGATTCCGGTAATCTTGGCACCACCATGATTGGACGCAATCACTGTCACAAAATCTCTAAAGTAAAGTTTTGAAAAACGTCGCAACGGTGCAGATCTAAGTGTTGGTAACGCTGAGAAAATGCTATCTTCGAATTTGTCAAGATAAGCCTCTACAACTTTCTTATTGAGTTCGCCGTTTTCATCGAAGTTGTTTTCATCTTCCTCCAATTCGGCAATATCGTCAACATATATTTTCTTGAAGCTATTAATTTGGTTCATAAAGTAATACGAGAATGGGAAATGAAGGTCATGTAAGCCGCTAGCTATAGAATAGCCGTCTGGTCCAGGCTCTTTGATCGCCTCAATGTCAATAATCTTCTTGTTTAGATACATGCTCTTCCAGAATTCAATCAGCTCTTCATCTTCTTTCAAATCGTCAGTAATGTTGAAGAACGTCAGGAGTGCGCAGTGCTTTTCCAATGCATATAACAGCTGCGCAATGGGTTTCCTGACCAGGACACGAATATAAGCTAATAGAGCGTCTGCGAACGAAGAATGCAAGTAAATAGCACTTTTATCTGATGCCACACGTAACCGCCAGTTTGGCCTAGTATTCTCGTCAATCCATTGCATAATTCTCATCTTCAAAATATCTACGAATGCTTTCTTGTTTGGAATTTCCTCTATCAATCGTCTTTAAAATAGCAATGGTTAATAATCGGCAACAGAGAAATGTAGTTATATTGAATTGTCGATACTTACCGAACATGCTCGATTGATTGTGAAGAATCTGGATATTTAATACAAAGTAGACACCATAATAATTCTTGTTGCAAGATCTCTTCGAAAGGATATGCTGAGTTAATTACTTCACCTAGATCGCCTTCTATGAGAGCAGACAGGGGTTTCTCTTGAGGCACTAAAGTCTCAATAGTTACTTGTTCCCATCCACACATGAAGTTGAAGAAACTTGTGTTTGTCTGATCCCTATGATGATGCAATATAATACATGCATGTTTTGCTGGCATGTTTACATACTCATTGCGTTGTCTTCTTGCAAAGTATTCGTTGCGCAACTGTTCAATAATCAACTTTGCCAATCTAATATTACCCGCTCTTGTTGTCGATAAGTCACACTGCAGAAGGAGCAGCTCATCGTCGCTCTCAAACCAGAAATGCTTGACTCTGCTCTGTAGTTGAGCCTCAGCTTTAAATGTCGATAGCTTGTCTACTTGACATTTCAAAATTCCTTCCAAGCATCCCTTTACATCCGTGTTAATATTGCTGAATGTATGTATTATTAATTGATACCCTTCATTGTATAGAGAATTTGCAATTAATGGTCCAAAATACGCTGCTATATGATCATGCTCTCCGCGGTCAAAGTAAGAAGTCCAATTTATCACTTCATCCGACTCGATAGCTAACACGGAATGAGTAGCCCTAACTAAGCCATCAGATGACGCGATTTTTATCAATCTTTCTTTACAGCGCTCTAAAATATCCTCATTATCACGCGACAAACTTTTCTTGCATTCGTCAATCACAAGACTCTGTAGTGTTTCATCCTTGTCGTACCCGATAAATAGGTCTGCTTCGGTAAATCCGCCAGTTGTATTTATACCTTCCATTCTCATTATTGTTGATATAGACTTGACCCAGGTTTCAAGTTGACGGTATAAACGACATTGCTCTTTCGTGAGCGTATCGTTGATAGTTAATCGTTGCTTTTCAAACCGATTCAAAAGCGGAGGGTCTGCGTCATATACTAGCTTCTCATCAAAGACAAGGACACATCTGAAATTCGGATGCACATAACACATTGGATTGGCGTAAGCCCCCAAAGCTATTCTTGTATAATATTTGGGATTGTCTTTGCTACCTTGTGTTATATAATTCTGATTCCACAAGTCATACAAGCTACCTAAAATATAAAAAATATGAAGAAAATTATGAAAATGTTTTCAACGCAAATTCTTATATTAAAAAAGTTGAAACTAACCATATATACTATCCAGATCAGTCAAGATAAGGGGTTTTCCTGCTTCTACGCACATCTACAAAGTGATACTTTTTAGCAAGTCGTGACCAACAAACACATCTGTATGTGTAGTTTAGAGACCTTACCATAACTCTACTTAATATGCCATAAGAATAATCTCCCTCTGCATCGTCCGGAAACTGCGATCCGCAAAGAACCATTGGATCCATATCGAATGACCTCCAATAATAAGTAAGGATGTTAAGTATTGAATCACTTTTTCCAATTATCATTAAAGGTCTAGCATCTTGCTCATGAAGATTCTCGTCAATTAATTTTTCAACTGGTATTGGATCATAGCTGTAATCGAACAGTCTACCGGATTCCTTCAACACGTTCCCAAAATAATCTTCGCATATTGCTTTCATTTGATCAGTGCCCCCGAAATTTCGTGCGAGGGCCAATTGTATTGAATCCACTGAAAAATTAACAAAAAACGTTTACATCACTGATTTAACATCGTCAAATACATATATCACAACTTGACTCACTAGTAAGTTTCCCTCTGCTCAAACTTTTGACTAAAGCATAATAATCACGAAGACCTGTTAAAAGGCACAAAGATATAATGTCAATGCATGGAATCACAGACTATGTTATCTAATAGACACGTAAATACCATGGAAGTTGGGGTATTTCTGGTTTTTTTTGTAATCTGTGTAGGCTGCAGTAAGGTTTTCTATTTTGCGGTTGCTCATATCAATTGATGATTTGCGTTCGCCTTTCAACAAAAGAGAGAGAGCTGTCTCCACAAGATCCTCTTTGCTCAATTGAGGTCTCTGAACCAGTAATGCTCTACTCGATTTACTATTGTCCAATCTCCAATTACTTATACCGATTATCGACACCTCTGGTCCATCCTTAGGATAACTGGGTTCAAGTAGCGCATGTAAAACCTTCAAGGGATTAAATGGACTCGTTTCCGCTAGACCAACTCCATCTAAAAGAACTACTGTCTGTAAATTAAAGTTATCGGATTTTGTCTTCTGTATTTTTTCTGCCTTCTGGAAAACTTTCAGAATACCATCGGATGTAGAGGAAGATGATCCTTGATGTGAAATTGTAACAACCTTAACGCAAAGCTTATGTAAGAGAAGACATACTAAACGATGTAAAATGTAAAACATTATTGTTCGATACAGTTACCTGTGGTAGTTTTCTAAAATACTCATCCTTAGAATCAGTTCCCCGAAGATTAGAGCTGACAAGTCTTATTGCTAAAGATTTGGAACTAGAATTAACAATATCTGTAATGCATTAGTACTATCCAAAAAAAATTGTATACTTCACAACGATAGTCACCTTCCAGGTGCTCCAATAATAAAAACTGGAATTCTCGTCATAATACAAACAATCATTACAAGCACATTTTCCAACAGTGCCTCATTAAGGGCAGTAGCGGGTGGACGTGCCATTCTGTGCATCCAATCATTCTGCTCCTCCTTAAGGTATCGTTTAAAGTCTTCAGCGGTCAGACGAACCTTGTGCTTCTCGAAAATACGAGCCATCTGTTTACGATACTCTGCTCTCTCACCCTGATCGTAAAGCCGAGCTTGATAACAAAGTCCCAATGATAAAACAATACTACGCTCTAAAAGGTATTTGACTTCTGGCGGATAATGTGCACTATTCGCCCGACCTCCCCTCACCCCGCTCTTCTTCAAATTAAGCCTATCTTGGAGACTTTTGTGAAACCATAAAATCAATCTGATGGCTCTTCGAACGTCTCGCAAGCTTACGCTTTGAGGTCCTTCGATCTCACGTATGTACTTTTGCGATTCAAAAATCAAATCACTTATGACGTCAACCTTACTTTTTTGACTCTCAACCATAATTAAATCACTTCTGACGCCAATCTGGTTCTTAATCATAATTTTAATATACATCTAAGTAATAGATCAAAACTATTAGTTAGTAGCTCTATTATGAGATTAAACAATCTTTTTTAAGCACCTGTTCATCTTCGATTTTGAGCACGCCAAAATCCCAGACGTAGTCAAGAATTTGATCAGGAAGAGGATGTACTTGATAAACGAGTTGACTTTGCTCCTGATAGACTCGTCTTTTCGCTAGCCCTGCTACATTATCATTACCTATGCTCAATCGATAAGGATTACAAGCAGCAAACAGACGAATATTTGAATGTATTGGCGTTCCCAACAACATTCTGTGAGCTATGAGATCCGCCAAAAGACCAATGTGGTTGCAAGTGTTGATTTCATCAAAGAATAACCACACTTCTCCTTTTCCAGCAAGTTTATCTCCTTCGCTCATAAACGTGAGAATCTGGCTCTCAACAATACCGGCATGCAGTGAGAGGTTACAGAATCTGACACCCACTACTTCGGCCAAATAACCGATCAAACTCGTCTACCAGAAGCAAGACATTGATTATATATTTTGCTGGAGATATAAACATTGACCCAAAACAGTAAAGAATCTTACCTTGCCGCATCCAGCTTCCCCACACACCACAACCGGTATGCTCGCACGTGCTCGCAGTAATATTAATGCCATTTTTATAAGATTATCAGCTGATAAGGCGTAAGAAGAAAAATTTTGCCTCTCCATCGATGTACGAGCGATACATTCCAGGCGTTCCTGCAAAACTTGAGTTTTCATCTCGTGATAGTCTTCTAGTTTAAATGTTTCTAACTGTGCGCAATCTGATGCGTTCTGGCTCCATAAAAGACGTTTGACATTGTCTGGTACCTTAGCTCTATCACGGTAAAGAGCGCAAATATAATCTGATGTTTGCGATAAGAAAAATACTAACAAATGATTCGAGTCATCCCATTTGACTATTGTAGCCAATCGAGCATTATCCGCGTCTGCTGCCGTCGATGCTAGCTGTGCGGCTTTGCTTTCAACCGAACGTGTCGCAAAATCTTTTGACACGCGTAATAGAGTCTCAAGTAGCGTTGATCGTACATCTGAATTTCGCATCATCAACTTGAGATTTTCAACACGAAAGAAAGAGCTTGAGGATAAGCGAACTAATTGATCAGCAAGAACACCAACGAAAATCTCTACAAAACGATAAGACGCAATTGTCTCCGGGTTATCTGCAAAAAAGTACTCTTGTATGAGTTCGCGACAACGTGCGTGTGGTAATTGCTTGGCTACAGGTTCGTCGAAAAAGATATCATCATCATCAATCGTCTGTTTCGTGTAGATGTCCAAATAGCGACAAACAATCTGAATTGGACTGTGGACTTCGCTTGAGACAATAAAATTGTTAATGTTCCAGGTAAGGTGCTTTCGGGGTAAACATTTGATAATTGGCAATGACTCAAGCAAATATTGATCCACGGTTGATGCAATCTCAATTAAGACTTGCTTTGGAAGAGTAGCAATATGTACTTTGTTGGAAATCATCCCAAGCGTAAGAAACTCAAAAATAAACATGTTGACTTCTGCAGTATTGTCAACAGAAACAATGTTCAGGTGCAAACTCTCTAAGCTTTTCAGTCTGCATTCGTGTAATTGACGCACGAGTCGATCGTAATGCATGCTATCACTTATCAGTACGCTTTTTGGAATTGACTCCGCCTTCATACGAGTTTGTTTGACATATTCTGTTTTACCCTGACCAGATAGATCTGAAGATATACACGCCACATTTGGGCAGAGTTCTCTGTACATATTTTTCATGGAAGCTTCCTCGAGACCTATTGTACTGTATACATGATTTGAAAATTGGTCGAGAATGTGGTGATGGATACCACGCTCTCTGTAACATATTAATGCCAATTTATAATTCTTTTCTCGTTCAAGCAACGTTCTTATGTCCTTAACGAGATTGTATTGTAGCTCAAATTCAAGAAACTCCAAGTTAGCAATGCAGTACAAACAATCTTTGTAGCCGTTTGCTGCCGCAAAAAAACATCTTTTTATAAATAGCGTAAGTTCTTCCGCTGTTGTTGTTGTTCTGCATATAAATACCTGCCATGGTTCAGGGTATGAGCCATGATTAGCGTACAACGACATAATAATGTTTGGAACCCGAAACTTGTCATTACATGCTGCTACAAACAGCTCTCCAGTTCGTACAATGTCAGA